CATGTGCCTTTTGTTTCTATTGATGTCTGTGTTATACTCAATCCTCTGTCACTTGTTTGAGCACAGAACTCACAACTGCTCAGATATGATTTCTTCAACACTTAATAATCAGTCTTTTTATTATTCCATGAAAAATATCTCTGTAAACAGGTTTTATTTACCCTTTTCTATGAACAGATGTGTCATTCAAGGTCAATGTTGTAAGTCCCTACACTGGATTAGAAAATTTCAACTAACAAACTATTCCTTTTATATAATACCATTGTAGTATTTCTTCTTATATTCCAGAACACAACATCAATAATAAAACCCAAAGAAATATTAAAAGCCAAGTTGAACTGTTGCATTTTAAAATGGGATATTTATATTGAAATATGATGTACATTCTGAAAGTTAAAAAATAGAGTGGTACTTTGGTCCACAATGCTTTTTTTGTGCATTGTTATGTTCACAAACAGAAGTATTTGGCAACATTTTGTTTTGTTTGCAAAGTCCGCATCATGTCACAAACACAACTATGGCTATCTTTTCCAGAATTGCAGAATGAAACAAATTCATGAACCAAGGTACTACTCTAATGTTTTCCAAAATGAACACAGCCATATAATCATCAATTTGTTCAAGTATGGAAACACAACTAACATCCTAGAAGTGGTATTCATGAAATGCCAAATATTATTTTGATTTTTATGGTCACAATAAATTTTAACAGATATTCAGCATTTTATAATGCAAGTACAATTTTGGCTAATATTCTTTTTCATGTTTGTCTTATCATTTTAATTTTTGTCTATGAAATCTGTTTGAATTAGAATTATTCCAGTAATAACCCTTATTCTTTGGGAATATTTTTGATGATCCATTTCCATGTGGATTCTTGAAATCATGAATAGTTTCAAACTGTGTTTACTTACTTTTTTCTGCAACATGTATACAAAAATTTAATGCCTTTTCTATGTTAAGTGTTTCTTATACACAGTGGCCATAACTTTTGCAGTTTGAGGTATTTCATCAAACCAACATAAATTTCTCCTTCCTTCTTCACACTTTCATAGATAGAAGATTTATTTGAGCAACTTCAGCATGTATTTTGTATTCCTTATTATGTCAAGAACTTTCACCTTTTCACTTGAAAGAAGTGCTTTATGGCTTTTCTCCTGCATATCTAAATGGCTGACATCAGTACTCCTGAGCTTTGGGGCCACGGCTAAGCACAGTGCGGGGAAGGAGCAAAAGCTCACTCACAGCAAGTGGATAACAGGCAAGCAGTGTGAAGAGCACCGACATGCTAAGCAGGGGGATGAGCCAAGTTTCAAACAGGGAGCAGGAGGGTGGCACAGGACTCCATCACACTATTCAGAATAGGAGTCGATCTACAGTGAATGAAATATTTATTTCTTGAGATTTTATTTTATATTCTCTGACAGCAGTTGACCACAGGAAACTGAAACTGCAAAAAGTAAACTCAAAGGTGAGTGTGGAATACTGTCCTTTGTTGTGTCATCGTCTCATAATATTCTGAAGCGTGACCATGTGCCTATGCTACTGTACTGCATTTTAGTTACTCAGTTTACCAATGAGGAGCACTGAGATAGCTTATCTTCTGACACTATTGAAGAAAATTCTTCACTGTATATTCTCACATGCCTATTTTCACTCACTTATATGCAAACAGGATAGGCATATGCGGAGTCTTACAAAGTAGTTACAAGAATGCTTTCTTGCACAGTGAAAGATAGAAATTAATACTTGGTCATTGTTATCTATACTTTACATTTCAGAACATTTTAAAAACCTCTCTAAAATTTCTGTCTTTATTACATTTTTGCCCAAAAGTTCGTTAAAATTATGTTTTATGTGTGTCTTCATGGGTTACTAAAGGGAATGACAATTAAATATGAAGGACAGGATAGTAAACAAGTACCACCATTATGTGATAAACTTTGTAACCAGAAATACCCCTATTATGACAAAGAGCAAGCAGCAAATATTAGTCAGTTCTGTTGTTGTGACAAAATACCTGGAAAAAATCACCTTAAATAAGGAAAGGCTTTTTTGGGCCCACTGTTTCAGATGTTTCAGCATATTGTCACTTGGGTTTCTTTGCAGTATATCATGGGCATGTGAGGATATGTTAGAGGAAACCTGTTCACTTCATGGGAACCAGGATGCAGAGAGAGAAGGAGAAGATAGGAAGGGAGGGAAGGAGGATGAGGAGGGTGGGGGAGAGATGGATAGACAAACACAGAAACAGAGACGAAGATACAGACGTCAGGGCTTCAACATCTTTCCAAAGCAGGGCACACCCTAAATGATTTCACTTCCCTCCACTGTATTGCACCTCCTAAGGTTTCCACCAATCTAAATAGAGCTTTTGGTGACACCAAAGACTTTAGCACATGGGCCTTGGGGGGACATTTGAGATCCAAACTATCACACACAGGCTGTTAAGACTCTTGTGGTAACTTACAGAATATTCTGCCACTGTCTTGTGGAATACAAGAGCCACTATCAGGTTTAGCACACTTCTCTATGGAGTATTACAGCTTAAATTCTGTACCTTACTGCTCTTTATATTATGAGAAGTATAGGAGTATTATCTATAATTTGATATTTAAATCTATGCTTTTGATATAAAAAGTAGACTCCTCTTACATTTTCTCATTTGTTGAAGCTGTCATCATGATTTCCTTTTAATTAATTAAGTTTACTATTATATACATTAGGTCTATATAATGACCACATTCATGAGAGAGAAAAATGCTCCTGTTCATGATACATCTTGATTTTTTTCCAACTATCCTTCTATTTCTTCAATCTCTCCACCCCTCCTTATTTACAAAAGCTTTTGCTCTACTTTTCCTTCTTTTCCTTTTCCATTCCTTCCTTTTCCCATCCTCTTTCCAAGTTCCCCTCCTCATTTAAACATTTTCCTCCTATTTCACTATTTTGGTCATTATTTACACTTTCAGTTTCTCACACCAAGGAAACTACATGGTATTTACAGACATATGTTTAATTTATCACTTAAATTATGTTCTCAAGGTGAATCGATTTTGTAGAAATATCTCAAGATTTTCCACCTTTAGGTTTGGGTAGTACTCTATTGTATGAAATAACCTCCGTTTTCATTCCCCATTCATATGTTGATTCTCACTTGAGGTGTATAAAAGTTTTAGGTATTACAAACTGTGCCGTTATAAACACGGATATGTTTGGCTGTGGTATGATGCTTTTAATTCTTCGATGAAGATAACAAGAAGGACAATAGCTGGGTCTAATGGTACCTCTAGTCCTAGTTTTCTGAGCATTATCTACGGTGATTTCCACAATGATTGTATCAGTCTATACTCCCACCTAGTTTGTGCCTATACTTCTACAAGCATTTGCTCCTGCTTGATCTCTTTATAATAGCCATGTCTTCTAGAGTAATAAAGAATCTCATGCTTGTTTTATTTGCTTGTATTGAACAGTTTTGCATATACTTATTTGCTGTTTCTACTTCTTCATTTGGCAGTATCTATTCATGTCTATGTCCATTTTGGCAATGGGTCTTCAAATTTGGTCAGGATTCATTTTTTTCAGTTCTTTATATATTCTAGATAGTAGTCCTTTGTCTGAGGAACAGCTGGCAAACATTTTCCCCACACTGTAGAGTTGTCCCTACACTGTGTGGTGGTTTCTTTTGCTATGGAGCTTTTGAATAAGATAAAATTCAAGTTGTTGATTCTTTGCTATAGTTCCTGTGCAAATAGGTTTTTTCATAAAGTCCTTGCCTACACTAATGTCTTCAAGGATCCTGCCTATTCTATTTACTAGCAGATCTAGAGTTTCTACTCTAATATTTTGCTCTAGGATTCATTTTTACTTTGGTTCAGTGCATGGTGAAAGAAAGACATGGGTCTAGTTTTAATCTTTGGCATGTGGAAGGTCAGTTTCTTCAAGCACCATTTATTAACGTGGATATCTCTCTTGTATTGAACATTTTGGCTCCTTTGTCAAAGATATGGTGGATGACTATGTATGGAGTTGTTTCCACATCTTCTAAATTTTCCACATATTCTACTGCTCCTACATTAGTCAATTATTTGTCAGTACCATGCTGTTTTTCTTTTCATAGTAGCTTTGTAGTAGTTTCAAGTGAGGGATTGTGATGCCCTCTACTTTGCCTTTGTTGCCCAGATTTTCTTTTGATAGTCTAGGTAGGTTTCTTCTTGTTTCAAATGAATTTTAGGATTATTTTCTCTAATTCTGTAAGACATTCTATTGGAACTGCATGAAATCTGCATAACAACTTTGGGAGTCTGATTATTTACACCAAATTGGTTTTTCTTATTCCAGAACAAAGGACATCTTTTCATTTTCTGATATCCTCTTCAGTATTGAATTTCAAAGTACTATAGATTTCAATGTGGAGGTCTATTACTTTTTTATTAGCTTGACTTCTAAGTATCTCATTTTGGGGTATGCTATGATGAAAGGTGTTATTTCATAATTTTTCTCAGTGAGTTTCTTATTCATGCACAGAAATTCTATTGATTTTTCTATTAATTTTACTGAGAAAAAAATGGCAATGTGACAGCTTCAAAACAGTCTGGTAAGAGACTAACAACAATTAATACATTGCATATTGTTGTCTTTGTAGTAGTCATTCATAGCACAGTTGCAGACATGGTATCCTGTCCAAACACTATTAGTATAGATCTTTCTTCTCATTGAATTAAGACAAAGTAGCTATATATCTATCCTAACTATTTTGTATATACAGATACAAAATTGTCCTTCATTTATAGCACCTTTTATCAGTTTTGTCAGAGATGGGAACTCCATTGCCAACCAAATATTGTAGGTACATGAATTCAGCAAATTATTCCAATATTGTCCAGTACTCCACAATAGTATTGGGTTATCCATAGGACTGGCAATGTCCAAATCTGATGACTTGAGCCTTCCACAGCTCAGCATATTAACATGGCTTCATTTTTCATACTTCATTTCTATGCTCTCCTGCTGGATGGTTAAGACCAAGATAAAGCAAGATTTATATAACAAAAAATGTAACTTTTGTATCGTACAAGGTCAGTCAAGGCCCTCAGGACTTATCGCAAAACTCTGTACCACACTTTGTAGATCTTTTGTCAGTGTTAGCCATGTGGATGAGTCATGGTATTGCTTGACCAATTTGCTCTCTGAGAAAGCCTGAGAATATGCTTTCTCTCCATGTGACTCTCTTTAGACACACACTACATCATCGTTCACATTCCTCAGTGTCCCCATAATCTCCTTGATCAGAAAATTTGGGACATAACTGAGTTACATGATGTTACAGTACAGGTTTTCCTATGTCCTGAGTCGCCACTGACCTTGAAAGGCTAGGGCCAAAATGTTGGCTGTCTGCAGCCCTTCTTGTTCTCTAATTTTTGGTCTGCAAACTTAGGTTGTTAACCCTCCAGGGGAGAAGCTTATTATTGCCCTACAACATATACAGGTGGGTTTAACCTCACTCTGTGTCTGAATATCAAACATCTTAGGCAGAAGATGAAACATCTTTTTAAAAAAATTACTTGAGACACAGTCTGGTATAATTGGTATGTCATGAAAGCAGTACATATTTAGAAGGCCAGAATGAGAGGCATTCCAAACATGACCCCGCTATTACACATTGTTATCTTCGGTACAGTCACTGAGTTCACACGTATCAGCATATATAGTTAGTTGGGGTGAGAATCCCACCCAGTAACTGCTAGATTCAACAACCTGCTGATAGTTCTCAGGATCATTGCATTACCCATCTTGTATGTATAAATGTATGGCTTTCTTCCTGTCATGTTTTCCAGCTCTTCTCCTTGCCCTCTTTTCCTTGTCTAATCCTCAAGTTTTCACTTTCTTTTTAATTGTGCTATACCTTTCGATTTGTATTTCTTCTTTTGAGTTCTTATATTAGGGAGACTATACAATATTTACACATGTGGGTCTGGATTATTTCACTTATGAGCATATCTTCAAGTGGCATCCACTTAAACATGAAGGCTTTGAGTTTATCATTACTTATAGTGGAGTAATACTCCATTGTATAAAAATACCACATCTTTTTCATCCATTCTTCAGGTGATGGGCATCTTGGTCGTTTTCAAGATTTAGCTATCACTAGGTGTGCTGCTATAAACATAGGCACACATATACCACTATGATATCATGTTTTCAGTTCCTCCGGGAAAATTCTCAGTAGGGGGATAGCTGGTTTAAAAGGGATTACCAGTCCAAGTTTTCTTCAGGAGTCTCCACACTGATTTCCATAATGGATGCACCAGTCTACATTCTTAACAACAGTGGAGAAGTGTTCATTTTTTCCCACAGCCTCTCTCACGTTTGTTGTTAGTTGATTTGTTTATGATAGCTATTCTTTCTGGGGTGAGATGGTATCTCAGTGTTGTTTTAATTTGCATTTCATGGATGGTTAGTGATGTAGAGCAGTTTTTCATATATTTATTTGCTTCTTTAATTTCATCCTCTGAGAAGTGTGTGTTCACCTCAGATGCCCATTTCTGGATTGGGTCTTTAAATTTTGGGTCCCTAACATGTTTTAGTTCTTTATATAGTCTAGAGAGCAGACCTTTGTCTGAGTGCTTATTTGTCAAGATTTTTTCCATATTTGTGGGTTGTCTTTTGACTTTGTTGGTAATTTCTTTTGGCATTCAAAATCTTCTCAATAAGAGGAGGTCCCAGTTGTTAATTCTTTCAAGTATTACCCGTGCGATTTGATTTTTGTTCATGAACTGTTTGAATATCCCTATATCTTCAAGAGTTCCTCCTACTTTCTCTTCCAGGAGATTTAGTCTTTCTGTTTTAATCTTTAAATCCTTAATCCACTTTGAATTTAGCTTAGTGCATGGTGATAGACCTGGGTCAAGTTTTAGTTTTTGGCATGTAGAGAGCCAGTTTTCCAGTACCATTTGTTAAAGAGCCTATCTTTCTTCCAATAAACAAGTTTGGCCCCTTTGTCAAAAATAAGGTGGCTGAGTGTGCTTGTAGACGTTTCTGCATCTTTTAATCTATACATTGATCCTCAGGTCTATTTTGCTGCCAGTACCATGCTGATTTTATCACAGTAGCCTTGTAGTATAATTTCAAGTCAGGAATTGTAATGCTTCCTGCCTTGTCTTTGTTGCCTAGGATTACCATTGATATTCTAAGCCTTTTCTGTTCAAATAAATTTTATGAATGATTTCTCTAGCTCTAGGAGGTATGTTGTGAGTAGTTATATAGGGATTGCATCAAATTGGTACAGCAATTTTGGGAGTATAGTCACCTTCACAATTTTGGTTCTTTCAATCCAAGACCAGGGAATATCTTTCCATTTTCTGAAATCTTCTATGATATCTTTTTCAGATTACTGTAATTTTCCATTTAAAGGTCTTTGATTTCCTTAGTTAGATTAATTTCAATGTATTTCATTTTCTGTGGTGCTATTGTAAAAGATGTTGTTTCTCTAATTTCCCTCTCAGTATGTTTGTTATCTGTGTAGTGGAATTCCACTGACTTTTGGATATTGACTTTTATCCTGCTATGATACTGAATTTGTGTATCAATTCCAGTGGCTTCTTGGTGCAATTTTTTGGGTCTTGCAAGTGAAGTATCATGTCATCTGCAAATAATGACAATTTAACTTCTTTACCTATTCTTATTCCTTTGTTTCTCTGTATTGTCTAGTAGCTTTAGCTAATGATTCCAGAACTATATTGAATAGGAGATGTGATAAAGGATATCCTTGTTTTGTACCAGATCTGAAATTAAAAGATGTCAGTTTTTCCCCAATTAGAATTGTATTATCCCTTGGGTTGTGATAGATGGCTTTTATCAGATTGAAGCAGTGGCATTCTATTTCAATTTTCTGTAGGACTTTGAACATAAATGAGTGTTGGATTTTGTCAAAAGCCTTTTCTGCATCAATTGAGATGATCATGTGGTCGATAGTTGGCTCTATTGATATGGTGTATTACATTTATAGATTTGCATATATTAAACCATCCTTGCATCACTAGGATGAATCCTACCTGGATATGGTGTATGATCTTCATGATGATTTGCTGTATTCTATTTGCTAGGATTTTATTGAGGATTTCTGCATCTATGTTCATGAGGAAGTTTGGCCTGTAGTTCTCTTTTTTAGTTGCGTCTTTTCCTGGTTTTGATATAGTATAATACTTGCTTCTGGGAATGATTTTGGGAGGACTGCTTCCTTTTCAATTTCATTGAAGATTTTGAGGAGTACAAGGATTATATCTTTTGTAAATTTCTTGTAGAACTCAGCTGTTAATCCATCCAGACCTGCACTTTTCTTTGTTGGTAGGTTTTTTAAATTACATTTTGTATTTCATTAGCTGTTGTTATGTCTTCTTGATTCAGTTTTGGTAATTTGTACTTTTCTAGGTATCTGTGCATTTCTTCTGTGTTTTCTAGTCTGTGGGGCATAAAGATTCTCAAAGTAGCTATTGATCATCATCTGAATTTATACTGGGTCTGAGGTAATTACATCTTTTTCATTCTTATTGCTTGTATTTGAATTTTTTCTTTAATCTTTTTCATGAGGTTAACTAGGAGCTTGTCTATTTTATTTAATCTCTCAAAGAATTAGCTTTTTGATTGGTTAAATCTTTGAACTGTTTTCTTCATCTTGATTGCACTAATTTCTGCTCTAATTTTTATGATGTTTTTCTTTTCTTTGGGCTCTTGGTTTGGATTGCTCTTCCTTTTCTAGATATTGGAGGTGCAACATTAGGGTGTTCATTTGTTCCTGTTTTGTTTTCTTAGTGTGTAAATTCACAGCTATAAATTTCCCTCTGAGGACTGCTTTCTTCCCATCCATAAATTCTGATAAGTTCTGTTTGAATTTTCATTGAATTGTAGATATTGTTGAATTTCTTGTTTAATTTCATCTGTGACCCATTAGTTGCTGAGTAGAGTGTTGTTAATTTCCATGTATTTATGGGGTTTTTCTGTTTTCTCACCTCATTTTTTCCAGTTTCATTGCACTGTGGTGAGATAATATGCATGGGATAATTTCTATTTTCTTGCTTATACTTAAACATGACCTATGGACCAGTATTGATCTATTTAGAAAGTGACCAATGTGCAGTTGAAAAAAATGTATATTGATCTGTGGTTGTGTGGAACACTCTGTATATGTCCACTAAGTCCATTTGTTTCAAGGTCTGGTTCAAGATAGAGTTTCTGATCTCAAACTTTATCAGTTCTGCTACTCCTTTGCTAATTTTTTGTCTAGTTGACCTATCTTTTTGGGATAAGGAGGTGTTAAGGTCTCCTGGTAAGATTTTGGTGTTCAATATTAGATTTTTCATGTCCCTTAAAATTTGGCTTATAGAGTTGGGTGCTCCCTTGTTTAGTGTGTATACATTTATGATTATTACATCTTCCTCTTGAATTATTCCCCTAACTAGTATATAGTGGCCTTTATTTCATTTGAACATTCTTGGTTTGAAGTGGAGACTGTGTGAGAACAGAATTGCTACCCCTGCTTTTTTCTGAGGTACTGGGGTGTGTAGTATTGTTTTCTAGTCTTTGACTTTCAACTTGTGAATTTCTTTTTGAGTTAAGTGTGTTTATTGTTTACAGAAGATTGCTGGATTTTGTTTCCTAATCCACTGTACCAGTCTGTTTCTTTTAATTGGTGAATTTAGTCCATTTACTTTGATGGTTAGAATTGAGATGTATTGACTTATAATTGACATGTTAATTTCCTACTGTCGTTTACTCAATTTTCTCCTGTGTTTAATTGTTTACCCTATTTATAGGGTTCCTTCTGTTCTCATTCATGGAGTTCTGATCATTTTGGTCTTTCTTAGAACATCTTTTAGTAAACTGTAGGGTTGGTTTTGTCATCATGAAATTATTTGGTTCTTCTTTGTCTTTGAAGTATTTCACTTCTCTATCAAACTTGAAAGAGAATTTTGCAAGGTATAATAGTCTCAGCTGTATTTTGTTTTCATAGAGGACTTGAATTATTCTCCTCCATACTTTTCTTGCCTTCATGGCTTTTGAAGAGAAGTCAGTCATTAGTCTGATGGGCTTTCCTCTAAGTGTGATCTGGTTCTTTTCTCTAGCAGCTTTCAATATATTGTCCTTGTGCTGGATTTCTGGGATCTTGACTATTATATATCTCGGTGTATTTTTATTTCAGTTGAAGTTATTTGGTTTTCTGTATGCTTCGGTTGTTTGAATGTCAGATTGTTTCCTCATATTTGGGAAGTTTTCTGCTATTACTTATGCCCATATTCTTTTTATATCATTTGTATTAACTCCTTCTCATTTATGCTTATTAGTCTCACGTTATTCATCTTTGTATCATCTTGTAGGTTGTGAGTTAGTTTTTCCTGCATCCTATTTGTTTTTAAGAGATATTTTCTTACCTTTTCATTAGCTGTGACAGTGTCTTCAAGATCTGAAACTCTATCTTCACTTTCACTCAAACGTTTTTGCAAGCTTGTGATTGAAATTTTCAGTTCCTCTATATCTCTTTGACTCTGCTTGATGACATCTATTTTTTCCTGTATTGCTCATTCAAGGAATCTATCTCTTTTCTAATCTCTTCTATTTTTTTTAATCATTGTCTTCTTCAGAAATAGTTGTTAATTCTTTTACTTCAAAGTTTATTTCTGATCTGATTTCCTCTACATATTACTACATTTAATATTTTATTTCAGAGATTTGTTTTTTCATTTCAGAGACTAATTTTGATCTTAATTCCTCTATACCTTTCTGCTGTTATTTCTTTACTTCAGACAGCATTAATTTATAGATTTCACTCTTTCAGAGATTAATTTTGATCTGTGTTCCTCTATACCTTTCTGCTGTTGTTTCTTTACTTCAGACTCTATTAATTCAGACATTTCACCTGTACTAGCGTCCTCTGCACTTTTTTTTGGGTGAGCTCAGGACCTGAGATTGTATTTTGCTCCTTCTCTTTGTCATTTTGTATAGCACTGTCCACTGACCTTTGGTCTAGAGCTTTGGTGCAGTTTTAACCTTACCACCTACCTTAAAATTCAGGTACAGATATACCAAGTTCTAATTCATCCAGTTGTGCCTGACTTGAGTCTGGCTACTGTGTTCAGCTCCTTCCTGCTGCTGCTCTTGCAGGTGTGTTGCTGTGCTCCTCTGGCAAAATGTTCTGCTCCTGGATTAGCTGCATGGTTTTGAGCCTAGTCTCACTGCAGGGACTTCAGCTGCAGAGTTTCATCCCAGGCCTGTATGCCAGGCCTGGGCTGGGTTTGGAAGTGTGTGAGGCAAGGCAGAACAGCACAGAAACTCTCCCACACACTCACTGGGCCTGGGCTTTGACAGGTCTGGAGGGCTCCCAAGAGGGTGGTGGAAATTCTCACTCACAGAGCAGGGTTGGGCTGGCTTGGGAGGGATGGGGGAGGTCTGAAGCACACAGGGAAAGGTCTCTCTCATGCATTGGGCCTGGGCTTGTTTCAGTAGGCACAGGACAGCGCAGAAGCTATCCCACACACTTCCAGAGCCTTGGGTTGGGCAGATCTGGGGCAGTCCCGAGAGTGTGGTGGAAGTTCTCACTCACAGGGCAGTCTTGGGCTGGCTCTGGAGGGATTAGGGAGGTCCAGAGAATGCAGGGAAAGGTCTCTCTCATGCGGTGGGCCTGGGATTGTTTCTGTGGGCACAGGACAGCACAGAAGCTCTAACACACACTTGCCACTATTGATTTTTGAGTATTGACTTTTTATCTGACTACACTAATGAATTCAATTATTAGATCTAGAAGTTTTTGGTGGAGGTTTAGGATCTTCTGTGTACAGTGTCATGTCATCTGAAAATAATACCTTAAATTCTATCTTTTCTATCCTTATTTCTTTTATTGCTATCTTCTTTCTAAGGGCTCAGGATACTGTTTTCAGGACTGTATTGAATAACAGTGGTGTCAATGGACATCCTTAACTTGTTCCTGATTTTACAGTGAAAGCTCTCATTTTTTTTGTCCTTTTTCAGAATTTATTGAAATTATCATGTGACTTTTTCTCTTAACTGTATTGTTATGATATATTGCTTTGGGTACATTGAGTCATCCCTGCATCCCTGGGATGAAATTCTGTAATGATGAATAACTGTCTTGATGATTTGCTGCATTATATTTGTCAGTGTATTATTGAGGCTTTTTGCATCTATGTTTACTAGGGAGATTGATCTTCAGTTCTCTTTTTTGATAGAATTCTTCTCTGCTTTTGGTTTCTGGGTAATACTTGATTCCAGGAATGAAATTAGGCATACTGTTTCCCTCTTAAATTCATTAAGCATTTTGAGAAGTAATGAGATTAGGTCTTCTCAAAGTTTCATGTAGAATTTAGCAGTGAGGCCATCATGATGTAGGCCTTCTTTGTTGATAGAGTTTTAACATCATTGACTAGTAATAATATATCTAAATATTATTTAGAAATTTTGTGTCTTCTTGAACAAGCTTTGGAAATTCTTATGGTTCTAGAAACCTGTCCATTTCATCTTCATTTTCCATCTTATTAGAATATTGATTCTTGAAGTTGGCATTGAAGATGTTTTGAATTACTGTAGGATGTATTGTAATTTCACCCTTTTTTCCTAATTGGTTGGATCTGACTCTTCTCTTTCCATTTTTGGATAAGGTTGATTCAAATGGTTTGCCAACTGAATTAAATCTTTCAAAGATCCAAGTTCAATTTGTATATTTTCTGTCTCCATTGTATTAATTTCTGCTTTGATCTTTGTACTTCCCTCATATGAGCTTTGGGCTTGATTTGTTCTTCTATTTCTAGAAACTTAAGGTTCACTATTAAATTGTTTATTTGAGCTCTCTTTGTTTTCTAATATGGGAATTTATATTATAAATGCCCCATTTAAGACTGTTTTCATTTTATCTCATAAGTTGTAGTATGTTGTGCTAGTATTATTGTTTAATTTTAGAAAGTGTCTACTTTCTTTCTTCTTCTTTTTTAATTTATTTTTTTATTTTTTTCTATTTTATGGAAGGATATACAGGGTGTTCAGGGTCTCACTACTAGATCGTACTTGTAGTGATCCACCTATTTACAGCTTCTCAAGAACTGGGGTTACAGGCACATGCTGCCATGCCCAATCTCAATTGCTATCTCAGCATGGCCAGGGTGCAGGGCCAACACCATAGGCCCAGGGATTGAAACCCTGGCTCCTGCACCTGCTTGCAGGTGCTTTAATCCACTGAACTATTTGGCTAGCCCAGAAAATGTCTAATTTCTTCTTTAATTTTGTCTGTGACTCATTGCTTGTTTAGGGACATTCTGAGTTGATTTGATTTCTTTTTCCCACTGATTTCCAGTTTAATTGCACTGTGGTCTGATAACATCCTTGAGACGACTTCATTTTTTAAAAATTAATTTTATTTAGAAACAAATAGTAATGTGACAGTTTCAAAACAGGTTAATAGGACAGTTTTAATAATTAATACATTGCATATTGTTGTGTTCATAGTACCTATTCATAGTGCAAGATGCAGGCATGATGTCCTGTCCAAACACTATTAGTACAGATCTTTCTTCTCATTGAATTAAGAGAAAGTAGCTGTATATCTATCCTAACTATTTTGTATATATAGATACAAAATGGTCCTTCATTCATATCCCCTTTTGTGTTTATTTGTGTCATAGATGGGTATCCCATTGCTATTTAAATATTGTAGGTGTGTGAATTCAGCAACATAATCCAATATAGTCCAGTAGTCCATAATAGTAGTGGGTTATCCATAGGACTGGCAGTGTCAGAAGTTGTTGCCTTGAGCTTTTCACAGCTCAGCATATTAATATGCCTTTACCTTTTTTTTTTTTTTTTTTGTGGAACTGGGGATTGAACTCAGATCCTTGCATTTGCCAGTCAAGTGCTTATCCTACTGAGCCATCTCCCTGGCCCCTGCCTTTACTTTTTATACCTACTTTTTATACTTTTTGCTGGATTGTTAAGATCAAGACAAAGCAAGACCTATATAACAAGAAATGTAACTTCTGTATCTGACAAGGTCAGACAACTTCAATTTCTTTGCATTTATTTATGCATGTTCTGTGAGCTAGTTATGTAGTGTATTTTGGAGAATTTCCTACATGCAGCTGAAAAGACTGTGTATTCTGATAGTGAGGTAGGAACACTCTACAGGGATCTACCAAGTCCATTTGTTTGTGAGTTTGTTTTGTTCTAATATTTCATGGTTAATTTTTCTCTAGGTGGTCCACACATTTATGATAATGATGTACTGAGTTCCTCCATTACAACTGATTTTTTATATCTGTTAATATTATTTGATAGGAGTATGTGTCCTGGTATGTAGTGAATATATATTTGTTATTGTATTCTCATTCTCTTGGATTGTTCCTACATGAGGATGTAGTGACTTTATCTCTCTGTCAGTCTGGGCTTGCAATTCATTGTCTATAGACTAGTTACCTCTGTTTTTTTCTGGGTTTATGTCATATGAAATATTGTTTACCATGCTTTGACTCAGTCTATGAATTTATTTTTGATTTAAATGTGTTTGTTGTATGCAGCATATTGTCAGATCTCACTTCCTAATCCATTCTTCCAATATGTTTGATTGTTGAACTGAGATCATTGACGGTTATAACTGATATGTATTGACCTATCTTTGTCTATTTTTTCCTGTTGTTGGCTTTCTTTTTTTCTCCCTCCATTTAATTTCGAGCCCTGCCTGATAGATTCATTCTGTTCAAGTTGTCTGACTTGAAATCCTTATCCATTTCTAGCATATACTTCAGAACATTTTGGAGTGCTGCTTTGAGATTCATGAATTTCTTCAAGTGTTTTCTGTCATGGAAGCATCTTATTTCACCAACAAGTTTGAAAGCTGGTTTGAGGGTATATAAATCTGGAGGTTGTTTTCAGTTAGGAATGAAATGCCATGCTCCAAGCTCTCTTTGATTTGAGGATTTGTGTTGAGGAATTGCCTGTGATTCTGATAGGCTTTCCTCTATATATTCTCTGTTTGCTTATTTGTTTAATAGCATTGATTATTATATTCTGGTCTTGAATTTCTGGAATTTTGACTTTTATTTTCCTTAGTGTAGAATTTTTTATTATGGTTAATTAGAATTGTATATACCTCACTTATATGCATTTTATATTTTTTCTCCTGCTTTGGAAGTTTTCTTCCATGACCTCTGTGAAAAGGTTTATGCGTCATTTGTGCTATCTTCTGCTTTTTCGTTGACTTCAATTAATCTTATATCACTCTGCTGTGTATCATCTAGTAGCTGCTGGATTGATTTTATGTGGTCCCCCTATTTTGTTTTCCATTTATGTATTTGGTACAGGGTTTCAGAGAGCAGTTTGAACTGGTAGTGATCCTTCTGTTTTTGGCCTCCCAGAATTGGGATTACAAGAGTGACCACACCCAGACTCTCTCACAAGCTCAAGGTGGGGCTGCATAGCATGCAGGACTGAGGATTGAACCCTCCTCCCAGCACTTAGTCTGCTGAGCTATATCACCAGCCCCTGGTCCCTCTACTTTTAAGAAATGCTTCTTTTCATGACTTCCAACCACAGTTCCATCTTCTATATTTTAGATTCAGTCCTCATATTGGCTCCTTCTTCTGAATATACTCTGAATTGAAGTTTTAATCTCTGACACAAGTGTTTGAATCTGTTTCATGATTTCCTTTCTTTTGTTGGGCATCTATGATTTCCATCATTTTCCTAAACTCCTTTTAAATAAAAATGCATCTGCCCTTGAGTCACTAAGCACTCTTTCCTTGTGGTCACCATCTTTGTAGTTATCTGAGAAATTATTTCTGATTTGAATTTTTTTAGAACTTCCTTCATTTACTTTGTTATTTCCACTGTCTCCACTTTAGAGAGTCAGATGTTTCCACTTCATTGCCACCTGTGTTTGCCTTTGATGAGCTTGAATTCTTGGGTTGTGTCCTGTTTAAGTGTCTTTTCCTTTTCTGTTTTGTTATTGTTATTGTTTGTTTAATTCCTGGGTTGATGCTTATAAGTTACTTATGATGGGTAGCTTTATTATTAGCATTTATAGCCCTTAGAAAATGATTACTTCTTTTAGGTGTCTTCCAGTTGTAGCTGACTTTTGAGTTTTGAGTCTGTTTCAAGGTCCTACTTCTTTGATTTTTTAGGGATAAGAATCTTCTGCTTACTTGGTCCAGTCCTCAGTTCTTAGGCAGTGGCCTGTAGTGCTTTTTATGACCCTTAGGCCAGTGTGATTCTTGGTATACCAAAGGCATCTGGTTAGAAGAACTATGTCACTTTGGCTAATGTGGTACAATCAGCAATAACAATAGTATTGAACATGGCCTACAAGGTGAAAAACTGAGATAAGTCTTATTTTTCTACCTTTCTCCATATGAACTAGATTTGTGGTTATATAAGAAAACCTAAAATAAACCACAAAATTGTATGCCCTAAATAGACCCTAATTCCAATGATTTTATCCTCAAGAGAGAAAATTTAAAAGAGGTGGTGGAGAAAATAGAGAAAGAGAAAAAGAGGAAGAGATTAGAAGCAAAGATAGAGGACAAAGGAAGATCATTCAAACTTTGGGAAATTCATGAAGCAGACAGGAGGGAAAAAGAAAAGGAAGAAATGATAAGAATAGAACAGAAAACAACAACAAACTAGAACCACTTTCATACTCATATAAAAATGAGAGCAAACAATCAAGTAAAACAAGCAAAGAGACAAAGAAAGAAAAGAATATAAATTAAAAAGTGTCTACTTCAATGTGCACCTGTACTGTTACTTGTGAATGACAAGATAGACAGAGTTCACATATAAATTCATTAATGCCAGCAAGCCAGCTGTAGCTTCACGATGGGATACTGAGTAACCCTAGTGAGCCTGCACCTTTAGTTTGACTGCCATTCTTGACATTTTCTGCCTGTGAGATTGGAGCCAGACTTGGTGAGCCTGCAGCAGTCCATGCAAACCCATAGCTTGAACTTGGCTACCCACCAGCTCAAACTCGGCTCCTTATCTTTAGCTGACTTGAGTTAGGCACCTTCCCCTGACACTGGAACTTCTTAAAACCAGCAGTGGCTGAGTTCTGAGCTCTGTTGGCTCCTCTCTAAGATGTCTCCCAACCACTCTTGAGCCACATCTGAACCCAAAGAACCCACATGTGAGCCACATTTGAACCACCAACCCTAGTCACCTGCATCACTCATCCCTTCTACTGGTGCCTGTTTGAGCCCCCCCCCCCCCTGCAAACTGGAAATTGATACTATGTGGGAGGACAGGCGGAGGTCTCATTGTTTAAAACAGTCAAGCTACCTCATCTTAAAAAAAAAATGCTGCCTGGACATTGTGGGTTATTAGGTCCTAGGCAACCTTGCGCCTTGTAATTCTGTAAAATTGTAAAAATAATGCTTCTACTGTTGCTCTTGGATCCTTTGTCAATCAGCCATGGTCTTCCATTTGACCTCAGAAACTATCTCTTGTCTTTATTTTCTAAATCCTCTTGCTCTTTTCCTCCGGAACCACCAAGAGACCAACAAATCCCAATAAGGCCTTTCTCTGTGGAGACTTCTGGGGTTGTCAGTAGTCACCATCTCTCTTCAGTGTTGAGCTGCCCCTTCCACACTGTAAGTCTGTTCTCAGAGAGAAAGCAAACCTTCAACTTCTCCTTCTTCATTGCAGTTTCTGTTTTCACTATTCCTATGGGCCCACATAGGAATAGTGAAATTCACACATGAATTCTTTCTTCATGTGTTTCCTGAGTCCCAGGCGCCCCCTTCCCTCCTTCTCCTTGTCATGTTTCTTTATACCATTGTCTAGGCATCAAATCTCAGAGAGGGTCTTTCTCTGCTTCTCACCACTCTACCATCTTCAAAAAGTACCCCCGAACTATTTTCTTTCTTATACAAAATGAGTAAAATCAATCATACTTTAAGAATGAATATCCTTAACTTTTTTTAACTTTTGGAAAATTAAACAAGAAGAAAAAATTTGAAATTAATTTAAATTAATAGCGAAAAAGCAGAGGTTGGAAAAATTAAATAATAAGAAAAATCTATTATATAAAAAATTATTCGATATTATTATCACATTAAATTTTAGTATTATAGTAATTTAATAATATGTGTTTATAAAAAGACATAAAATAAAATACTTCTGGGTATACTAGAATTATTGGACTACTGTTGTCTGTATATGAATTGGGTACCATACCACTTCACCTCTTATTTTAAGTCAACTTGACTAAATTGTAAGGAGGCAAATAACTATCAGTATAAAAAGAATACATTGTATATTCCAATTGGGGACAATATTGAAGCCCAGCATTACAAAGGAACAAAGAAATCACATTAGAGAGGAGTAGTTTTAAGTATTGAGAATAGTTAAGGGTTACATTTATGCATAACTAAAACTGAAAATTAGTTAGTAGATCTATGGACTGGTGTTTGAAACATTGAAATGTGTTTATATGAGTCACAATAATTTTATTTTTGTGACCTTGAACAAGCTGTTTAAGCTCACTGTATTGTAATTTTTCAAAACAGTAATGAGATTAATGTTACTTGTTCGTTCACTCCAAAGATTGATTAGAACATTTTTCAGAAGAGTGATGACATATTAATCCCATCTGTGTTATTTTTAATAGCTCATGTCTTCCCCTGAAATACATGTGATGATACTTCAGCAAGATTTTCAGTGAGATCTACACTAATATTCTGTGATTATCAAAAATGGTTAAGAGTTGATGTTCACCTTACAACTTGCATAACTAATAATAGCATCAACCATATATATTCTACACAGCTATTTTGTTCATTAAATTTAACAGTTCATTTCTCCAATTTTATGCTTCACAGCAGTTACTTTTCTGCCTTATCAATTCTGTCATGCACTGAGCAATTAACTTACCCATGGATATTCTGGCAGTTGATTGGTCATAAATGTTCGGTTTCCTTTTAATAACTTGATGTAGATTTAAACAATCTGTAGTTCTTCTATTATGTTTACTTTCTAGGATTCAATAATGAGTAAATTGATTAATTATTTGAAGAACTTTATATATGTTAACATATGCAGTATTATTTGCCTTTCAAAGAATGAAACACTAGTTAAAATGATAGCAAGTATCAATATTAAAATATCTTTTTAAAATGTATTTAGTACAGTGTCTACAGGGTCTCTCTATGTAGATCTGATTCATAGTGATCTTCCTGTTTTCAGCCTCCCAAGTGCTACGGTTACAGGCATGCGTCACTATGTTCAGTCTCAATCACTGTCTCAGCATGCCCCGGGGGTGGGGCTGGCACAGCTTGTGGTGCTGAGGATGGAACCCCAGCCCCTGCACTCTGCCTAAGCAGGCACTTTAGTCTGCTGAGCTATCTGGCCAGCCTTAATATTACAGTATTCTTTGCATTAAATAAATGTTTTCAAATACATATATCTTGCTGCAAGAATGGTGGAGACTCACAGATATCAGATGTGAAGCTTTATGGTTAGCGATGGGTTTGCTTCCCATTTTATTGTTACTTGGGTTTACTCCAAATAAAAGAGATTGGCAATGAATATTTCTCACAACTCTAGAATACTGATATACAAATGCTCCAATTTATTCTAAGAAAATGGCATATTTTCTCTAATATTCTAGTGTCAGAATTTAAAGATACTAGGTAGAGTCTAACATGCAATCAGATCTATTTTGTGTTTTGCAATTCATTAATAGTAATTAATTATACTCATTTAAATTTTTATGTTATTGCTTATCTTTAATTATTTAATATGTAACAAATAATTTGAAAATAGTAGCTAACAAGGTTTGGGTAGAGAAGGACTAGATATCATCAGATTTAGTCAAAACTGGCATGTTCTAGAATTAACAAGAATGAGATGCTTTCTTTGCAATTTATACTATATTTTTGCTTTACTTAAAAATTCTAGGAGGGCTTCCATTAGCATGTTCTATTAAAGATATTATTGTATTAAGGAGTAAAATGAGTTTTGAAAGCTTTTTAAATTTAAAAATATAGAGTTTTCTTTTATCTATTTCTATCTGTTATGGTTTACATACAGATGTATCGCATATCCTTCTGTGCTTACAGGTGGGATTTATCTCCAACATTCTATCAATTTCCAGTGTTTTTTTCTTTTTTCATGCCTTCAAATTAATAGTGTGTTATCTACTACCCTCAAAGTACATCATATTTCATGTAGCAATATCTGATAAGCATAAAAGGAAAATAGTCAAAATAGTTATTGATGTTTAGTGAGGGCAGAAATTAGAACCAAGTACATTAATGGGTATAAAATGTATCTAAACTATAAATATAAAGATAGAAATTTCAACTAAATTTGAATTTTCACTTTTAAAATTAAACTATGCAATATCCTCAGACAAACTTCTGTGCTAGGTCTCTGTTTTTTCTTGCATATTCCTTCAGATTTCAACTGTGACCCAATTTGCTTCTTAAGTCTGTATAGAAGTGTACTTAAGGACTGAATCTGAGAGGCTGCCACATAAAGATATGAGTAGTGAGATTTTTGGAGCAGTGGTACGCTGTAAGGATCCACAATACACTTGTGTGACAGCTATGGAAGGGAGTTATCTGAATGTCCCTTCAAAGAGACCTTGCCATTCATCACAGGGAGTGCCAACTATAGCACCTTGAAGCATCATGTTCAGCATAAAAGCTGATGTCACAATCTTCCAAAAGCGGCCTTAGCTGAAAATCTGGTATGACAGGACCATCATATTAGCAACTTTTGCCTGGGAGTTCACCACTGGGTTGGCCAGCACTTGATGCAGAAAAAAATACTACATGATTTAACTCATATGGAACCTGAAAGAGCTGAACTGAAAGAACTGAAGTGTGCTATAGCAACTAGTAGAAGCAGCAGAGGAGAGGGAATGTAGGGAACAGAGAAGTGGAGATGGTGAGACATAGGTGATGTGGGTGGAAAGTCTCAGCCTGATGGGAAGAAGAAGTTAGGGCTCTATTATGAAGAAAGTGATCAGAGTTATTAAGATTATATTGTCTAACATGAAACTAGAAGAAAGGCTTTTGAATGTTTATATCACAAAAATGATCATCATTTGATGTGAAAGATAATATAGATAACTTGAATTATTCACCATACAATGTATAAATGTTCTAAAACATCACACCATATAAGCAAGTAAAATTGTTATCTATAATCACTAAGAAGAAAGCTAGCCTCTTGTCTCAGTTACTCTTCTCTCATTGCTGGGACAAATACCTGAAACCCAAAATGAAGGAAGGAAAGGTTTGTTTAGCTCATGGTTAATGGAGGTTTTAGTTCATTCTCAGCGGGCTCCAAGGAACAGTGACACATGGCACAAAGCAGCCATCCACAGCTGTGGCAAAGAGCAAAGTGAACAGGGCGTGGCAGCAGGTCAGGCAGCTAGTGAGCCACTCTCCCTCATGCAAATTGCCTTCCCCATACCCACAATAATCAATCACAAACTCCAAAAGCAACCCCATGACTGCAGGAGGATTTGAGGGGACAACTAGACACAAACCATAAATTTCACTCCTCAACCCCCAAAGACTCATACATAGTCCTTTATACAAAAAATATTTTTGGCTATCTTTGAGGGTTGCCAAAGTCCTAACAGTTTTAGCATCACTGAAAAATCTAAGTCTCAAGTCTCCTCCAAGATTAAAATCAAACTCTTTGCTATGAGTTCCTGTGCAAATGAAAAGTTTAATACCTTTGACATTTAATAAGGCAAGGGCCAGCCAGATAGGTCAGCAGACTAAAGGACCTGCTTAGGCAGAACACAACAGCCAGGATTCAATCCCAAGCATTCCATTCTGAGGTAATTGAGACTGGGCATGGTGGCATGTGCCTGTAATCCCAGTGTTTGAGAGGGTGAAAAAAAGAGGATTACTACAATTCTGATCTATGTAGTGAGACTCTGAACACCCTGTAGACCCTGTACCAAATACAAAATAATAATAATAATAATAATAATAATAATAATAATAATAATAATGCAATATAAATGTTACCATTTTAAAAAGTAAAACAACAGCTGAAAACAAAGCATTGGGCCCAACACAACTCTAAAATCAAGGCGGACAAGCATTAAGTGCTGTAGTTTTATATGGAACATCTGAAGCAATCTGTGGCAAATTGTGAGCTCCAGGTGGCTCCACCCCTCTGGCACTTTTGCCAGTAGCTCCCATGGCTTTTTTCTAGGCCAGCATCACTCCTTCTGTGTAGTTTCTTTCTTTTTTTTCAGGCAATCTATGTTTTTGGCATTTTTAAACTTTTGGGGTTTTTACTGGATAGTCTTTTCACTCACAGCTTTTGTCCACTGCCCTCTCAGGGGCACACTGCCTGGCCTCCCAAAATCTAGGTGGAAGCCTTTTTCACCTTAGAAGTGTTATATTTGCAAGTGCCTAAAATCAGTGTCATGTGGATGATGCCAAGGTCTGCTGCTAACTGGAGCAGTAGCCAGGTTTTTTATTCTCTTGTCAGTAGGAGTCGACTGCCGGGACCACTGAGTCTCTGAACCTGATTTTGAAGAACAACTTTTCTACGCCAGCGCCATTTTGGAACCTGGTGTGGCTGCCACTGCCACTTTGGAACACTGCTCTTTGTAGCTTTTTCTTTAAAGCGAAGTCTCTCATCCTTGTAATTTTGAGGCTGCAAAGGGTGGAGACCTGTTACCTTTTGTGAATCACTCAAGACACCCTTTTTATCTTTTAATTTCTTTTTGGAAATGGAGATCTTCTCAGCTCTATCTTTGCATTTTATACCTTTACTGGAGCTATTTAATTAATTAATTAATTAATTTATTTATTTTTGCCAAACTCACATTTGAAATCATCCTGCTGAGGTCTTTGCTCTTGATTTTTTTTAAACACATTTAGTGCATAGTGTACAGGGTCTCACTACACAGGTCAGACTTGTAGTGATCTGCCTGTTTACAGCCTCCCAAGTGCTGGGATTACAGGCATGCACCACCATGCCCAGTCTCAATTGCTGTCTCTGAGCACCCCAGAAGTGGGGCTGACATGGCATACTGGAGATCAAACCCAGGTCACTACATCTGCCTAAGCAGGGGCTTTGATCCACTGAACTAGCTGGCTGGCCCTTGCTCTTGATTTTTAACATAAATCTGACTAAAAACTCCCAACAATTGCCATGCCACTACCTCAATATTTAACTGCTTTGTAAGATTAATCAGTCTGCAGTGCTTTATCTCATTCTCAGGCAAAGTCTCTGGACAGGAATGAAATATATACAAAGTTTTTGCCAAGCCATAACATACATCATCTGGAGTCCAACAACCAACGGAGTCCTTCTTCCCAGAAGAAGCCTCCCCAGCCTGACCATACAAACAGGCTTTTTATCTGCCTTCTGGTCTTCTGAGCTCTAATTGGAATCTTCCATGCAGAACAGCCAAAGCTGTTCCAGCGTTACTCTTGTATGCAACATTGCCGAACCCTTTGTATCTTTTCCCATAAGCCATTCCCAAAAGCTTGTAATCAACATGGTTCCTATTGCTGAGACAAATACTTGATGCCCCAAATGAAGGAAAAATAGGTTTATTTATCTCACAGTTATTGGAGGTTTTAGTCCATGCTCTGCTAGCTCCAAGGCAGAGTGACACATGGCGGCCCAGAACAGTTGTTCAGGGGCTCGAGAGATGGCTCAGTAGAATAAGTGCTTGCCTGGCAAACACAAGGGCCTGAGTTCAATCCTCAATTCTGAAACAAACAAACAAACAAACAAAAAAGAACAGTTGTTCATGACTGGCAAAGAGCAAAGGGAGTGGCAGCAGCTCAGGCAGCTAGCTAGCCTATCTCCCTTCCTTACACTGTAATGCAAACTACCTGCCCCAGGGTGGGTGCAGCACCCATACCCACAATAACCATGAACTCCAGAAGCCACCCTGTGACTGCATGAGTCTTTCGGGAGCCAACTAGTCACAAACTATACCACCTCTTAATGAAAAGGTGCTGGAAAACTTGTCTTTCCATATGCTGAAGACTAAAACTAAACCTGTGTCCATCACCATGCACTAAACTAAAGTTTAAAAAAAGATGAAAAAAATCTAAATATTAAAGCAGAAAGAATAAATCTACTGGAAGAGAAGGTAGATAGAAATCTTAAAGATGTAGGTGTAGACAAACAGTTCTTGAGCAAAAACTACCTGCAAAATACTTCGGAGAATGAACAACTGGGATCTTACGTAATTAAAATGTTTTTGTACATCAAAAGAAATCTCTAATAGAGTAAAAAGAAAACCCACAGAAGGTGAAAAAGAAATAGCCAACTGTATCACAGATGAAGGAATTCTATATTGAATATAAAAGAATTAAAAACTCAGACCATTCAAATTCAAAGTCTCAATCCAAAAATTGCATCTGAAATGAATACATACTTCTCAGATAAAGAAATATGAATGGCAAATAAATATATAAAAATATGTTCAAAAGGGCTGGTGAGATGGCTCAGTGGTCTAAAGCACCTACTTAGAACAAGCTTAGCAAAGCACAGGGACCGCGGTTCAATCCCCCAGCACCACATGCCAGCCAGCCCCGCCCCCTGGTGGGCTGAGCTGGCCACACACACAAACAAATAAATAAATAAATAGAAAAAGCTTTTTTTTTTTTTAAAAAAATATGTTCAAAAGCACTAGTCATGAGAGATATGCAAACCAAACCAATGCTGAGATTCCATCTACTTCCAGAAAGCATAGCAATCATAAAAAAGTCAACCAATAAAATACTGGAGGAACTGTTGAGAAAAAGAATCCTTCTCCAGTATGGTGGGGAGTATAGACTGGTACAACCACTGTGGAAATCAGTGTGGAGATTCCTTAAAACTTAGGGTTGGAGGCCCCATTTAACCCAGATATTCCCCTTCTGGATATCTTCCCAGAAGAATTAAAAACAGTATACCACAGCGATATATGTGCAGCCATGTTTATAGCTGCACAATTTGTAAAATGTAAATCTTGGAAATAATGCAAATGCCCATCAACCAATACATGGAAAAAAAGATGTGATATTTTTATACAATGGAGTATTACTCAAGTATAAAAAAGATGAAACTCAAGGCTTTTATAGGTAAATGGATACAACTAGAGACCATACTCATAAGTGCAATAAATCAGACTTGTATGTCTAAACATCCCAGTGTATGACTACTGTAATGATCCAGAAGAGTAAATAAGATGCAAAAAGGTACAATAGTTATTGTAAAAGGAAAAAAAATAACTTCTCAAGAGGAGAGAGCTGTTGCAATGGGAGAAAAAGAAAAAAGACAGGTTAAAAAAAAAAAGAAAAGATATGTGTATCCACAAGATAGCTAAGATAATTGTACTACTAACTTCTACTAGTTCATTGAAAGGAGTAGTTAGTGCTTGTATTGGTTCATCAGTTTTTTTTTTAATGTAGTTAATACAGGATCTATAGGGTCTTATCATGTAGATTGGACTCACAGTGATTCTCCTGTTTACAGCCTCGCAAGCACTGGGATTACACACACACACCACCAGTTTCACTGGCCCAGTCTCAATCTCCATTAAAGTGTGCCCCAGGGGCAGGGCCAACATGGCACGTGGGTACCAAACCCTGGTGGGCTGTGCTCTGCCTAAGCAGGGGCTTTAGGCCACTGAGCTATCTCACTGGCCTGGTTCATCTGTTTTGCATGACTATCTGATGATCTGAGCAACTACTTTGAAGATAACAATAGGCAATAGAAAACCATTGTAAATTTCCTGTCATCATGTTTGAAATTCTGTATCCTCTTTATCATTTTTAAAAATAAACATTAAAAATAATAAAACACTTGGAAAATCTGCCTCACAATCTGTATTTTATTGTGAAGATCCATTCACTTGTGTTCTCTGATGCAAGTGTTCAGATCTGCAATGAAACCTGAAGGTTTCTCTGCCTAACATACTGTCTCTTTTATCATTACCAAGCAGTAATTCCCACTAGTTGCTTAAACTTCTGGTTCTTCTCTCCTGAGAGAACTCAGCACATCTTCTCAGCACCATAAGTCTCTTGGGCTGTACCACTCAATCCTATCCCCACACTCAGCAGCCACGGAGTTTTGATCTCATCTGCTACAGGGGCTCTGCTGTTCACTACTCTCTGGGAGTGCTTTTCCAGTGCTGTCCTTGAAACAGCCAAGGCTATTCCACGGCCACTTTGTGCTTCTTGCTTGGAAAGCTCATACACTCTTTGCTCACTCTTTGCTGTCTGGCTTCTCTTTGTTACTTACTGCTCTTGTTAAATGTCCCCTTTACTAGAGTCTTTTCTGGATCCTTGCATGGAAAGCACATTTTAATCTCTCTTTACTCACTAAATTTATAACTATTATAAGTATATGAAGTGTAGATGAAATATGTTTATCTATCTATCATCTATCGATCATCATAACCATCTAAATTCTTTGCTTTCTAAAAAGCTTTTCTCCAAAGCTTAAGCTCTGAATTATTTTTTCCATTAATGTATCTTAAGTATATTGGACAGTAATGGACATGAACAAGATGGGACAGTCCTATTTTATCTTATAGTTAAGATTTATTTTTAAAGCTATATGAGAAAGAGAAATTAAATAATGCCACAGAATATTCTAATATATGTTTATTAAAAATGAGTAATAAATACTCACAAGTGGAGCTTTACATAAAGTTAAAAAAAAATAAGGTGAATTCCAGTTTTACCCATGTCTTAGTTACTTTTCTCTCATTGCTGAGACAAAATACTCAACACCCAAAGTTAAAAGAGGAAAAGTTTACTTGGCTCACAGTTTGTGAAGACTTCAATCCATAGTTGGCTGGCTCCAACGTGGGGTGGCACATGGCAGAGGGCAGAGTTCATGGAAGCAGAAGGTACCAGAGCAACAGAGCAAAAGGGGGAAGCAAGCCTCTTTCCTCCCCTCATATTGTATGCAGGCAGCCCTCTCCTAGTCTGG